TTGGTGCCAGCCGTACGCAGTCCAACGTCTACCAAGAGAGGTATTTCAGTTTACAGATTTTAAAGCAATCCCTCCAGAACTTTCCACGTGTAAATTATGAAGGATCCTTCTCGCCTACGTTCCAGGGAGTAAGGTTCAAGGGACTTCAGGCGATCCTAATAATTTAGGTGTTTAACTGAGTTTATACATAATGCAGTGAAGGCTCTCTGCACATTCTCCAGTTGTACTATTTCACCTGCCTTAAAAGGGGCTGTTAATGTACAGCAATATTTCAGCCTAGAAAGAACAAGTGACTTAGAGTAATTCATCACAAGCTTGCCATCTCTTGTTCTGAACGTTTCAGTTATCCAGGCTGCCAGTTTCCTTGCGCTTTCACAACACTGTTGTTATCCCTTAATATAAGATCTTGTGATATTAACACTCCTAAGTCCGCCACATTATTCTTCTGTTTTTAATTCCTCAATTTTTCCATAGTTGAGCGACTGAAATTTCTGCTTACTAAATAAACATCTTATCGTTGTCTGTAGCTCACTGGTAAACCTCGTCAATATCAGCTTAAGTCTTAAGAGATCTGCTACAATTTCACTGATGTATTTTTCTCCCTGTCTCTCCTGGGCTCTCAATTTGAGCTCAAGTGCTTTACATCTATCTAACCAGCATTTCGTTCTTGTTCTTGAGGATGTGTGAGACCCTTGAGAAGTTCAGTGATTCTTCGTCTTCACCTCTCGAGGGAGCGCCTCTATCTTTCTACCTTGCATCTTCTCTTCCTTTTTTCATAACATACTTCCAGTGGCATCCAGCTAATTCTCTTGGGAAACTGGTATAAATTCACATTACTCGTACTATCTTCCCAGCGGATTTCTGTAAGGTCTGGAACGATATTATTCCAGACCATGGAGCTGAACTCTTCTCCAGGCTGAGGGACTGACCACCTTGTTCCAGACCATGGAGCTGAATTCTTCTCCAGGCTGAGGGACTGGCCACCTTGTTCCAGACCATGGAGCTGAACTCTTCTTCAGGCTGAGAGACTGACCAACTTGTTCCAGACCATGGAGCTGAACTCTTCTCCAGGCTGAGAGACTGACCACCTTGCTCCAGACCATGGAGCTGAACTCTTCTTCAGGCTGAGAGACTGACCACCTTGCTCCAGACCATGGAGCTGAACTCTTCTTCAGGTTGAGAGACTGACCAACTTGTTCCAGACCATGGAGCTGAACTCTTCTCCAGGCTGAGGGACTGACCATCTTGTTCCAGACCATGGAGCTGAACTCTTCTCCAGGCTGAGGGACTGACCAACTTGTTCCAGACCATGGAGCTGAACTCTTCTCCAGGCTGAGGGACTGACCAACTTGTTCCAGACCATGGAGCTGAACTCTTCTCCAGGCTGAGAGACTGACCAACTTGTTCCAGACCATGGAGCTGAACTCTTCTTCAGGCTGAGAGACTGACCACCTTACTCCAGACCATGGAGCTGAACTCTTCTTCAGGCTGAGAGACTGACCACCTTGTTCCAGACCATGGAGCTGAACTCTTCTCCAGGCTGAGGGACTGACCACCTTGTTCCAGACCATGGAGCTGAACTCTTCTCCAGGCTGAGGGACTGACCACCTTGTTCCAGACCAGGGAGCTGAACTCTTCTCCAGGCTGAGGGACTGACCACCTTGTTCCAGACCATGGAGCTGAACTCTTCTCCGGGCTGAGGACTGACCATCTTGTTCCAGACCATGGAGCTGAACTCTTCTCCAGGCTGAGGGACTGACCACCTTGTTCCAGACCATGGAGTTTGAACTCTTCTCCAGGCTGAGGGACTGACCACCTTGTTCCAGACCATGGAGCTGAACTCTTCTCCAGGCTGAGGGACTGACCACCTTGTTCCAGACCATGGAGCTGAACTCTTCTCCAGGCTGAGGGCCTGACCAACTTGTTCCAGACCTGGAGCTGAACTCTTTCTCCAGGCTGAGGGACTGACCACCTTGTTCCAGACCATGGAGCTGAACTCTTCTCCAGGCTGAGGGCCTGACCAACTTGTTCCAGACCATGGAGCTGAACTCTTCTCCAGGCTGAGAGACTGACCAACTTGTTCCAGACCATGGAGCTGAACTCTTCTCCAGGCTGAGGGCCTGACCAACTTGTTCCAGACCATGGAGCTGAACTCTTCTCCAGGCTGAGGGCCTGACCAACTTGTTCCAGACCATGGAGCTGAACTCTTCTCCAGGCTGAGGGCCTGACCATCTTGTTCCAGACCATGAAGCTGAACTCTTCTTCAGGCTGAGGGACTGACCAACTTGTTCCAGACCATGGAGCTGAACTCTTCTCCAGACTGAGGGACTGACCACCTTGTTCCAGACCATGAAGCTGAACTCTTCTTCAGGCTGAGGGCCTGACCAACTTGTTCCAGACCATGGAGCTGAACTCTTCTCCAGACTGAGGGACTGACCACCTTGTTCCAGACCATGGAGCTGAACTCTTCTTCAGGCTGAGAGACTGACCAACTTGTTCCAGACCATGGAGCTGAACTCTTCTCCAGGCTGAGAGACTGACCAACTTGTTCCAGACCATGGAGCTGAACTCTTCTCCAGGCTGAGAGACTGACCACCTCAACTATTTATCCAAGGTTGATGAACTCATTACATATTTACCTCCTCGCTACTACACCTGTTGCCTCTGTATGTGACTGAAGAAGTCTACTGTGTAGGCCACAAGTTTCAACAACTGCTACACATGTGTCTTCATATTCAACTTGCAACTTTCAGCACACCATCAACTAATCTGGTCTGTTCCACTATTTCCTATTTTAAGATGAACGTATCACAGTCTTAATAGTTCATTTGTATCAGAGTTCATCTGAACTATCTTCCAGGAATTTCTTATTACAGTACTTACTACCTCATGCCATTTTAGGGTAATGATTTCTTGCCACCACAGTTCACACCTGCTGTGTGGGTGACGTAGGGTACTACCTTCCCACCCTCAAACACGCCCACAGTTCACACCTGCTCCGCCCACAACACTAATAACTTGAACTCACCTTGAGAAAGAGGTTTAATGTTCTCCACCAACAGGGATTCAATTATCGAGAAACACATTTTGGGTTTCATTATCGTAAAATCTGCCATAGAAGATGAGCGAGCGTGACCGTGGGCCGCCATGAGCGTCACCTACCTGGGGGGTATTCCGGGGATCAACGTCCCCGCGGCCCGGTCCATGACCAGGCCTCCCACTGGATCAGGGCCTGATCAACTAGCCTGTTACTGCTGGCAGCAGTACCTACCCACGGAGACTGCTTCTAATATAACCGGAGTCAGTATGGAAGACATCTACCCACGGATACTGCTTCTAACATAACCGTGGGTCACTATGAGCGACACCTACCCACGGATAATGCTAACATAACCGTGGATTACTATGGAAAACACCTACCCACGGAGACTGCTTCACACACACACACACACACACACACACACACACCTCTGGCCACACACACAACATCGTTATAATAAAGAGGAAGCGCTAAACCTGCAAGTCATACAGCGCCTGAAGAATAGCAGGTAATCAGGAGTGATCTGAGGAGGAAGGGAATGGTAGCTCCCTTTATCTATCAATTTCTTTCTCTTTTTTTTACACAGGATTTTTAGAAGGTTAGGGTTAGGTTAGGTTAGTTTGGCTAGCTTAGGTTAGGTTTAGGGTTCCTAGCTTTATTTACAAGCTAAAAGAGTTGTTACCTACATCAGCTCTCTCTCTCTCTCTCTCTCTCTCTACCTTGGTGGCGTGCTGAAGAGAGGTTAAGATGGCGTCTATCATCAACCTGGGAAAGAAGGTTAAAATATTCTTGGCACACTGTTCATTTCCCCGGGGGAGGCTCCATACCAAGTTTACCTAAGTTTACGTCGCACACTGACGCAGTTTACAACGCTCTTAAACGCTGCCGCCACCACCACATCTTACACTATGTGACATCCTTCTGAACGACGTCCCCCACCCAACACTCCCCCCACCCACCACTCTCCCCCACCCACCACTCTCCCCCACCCAACACTCTCCCCCACCCACCACTCTCCCCCACCCCCTCATCCTGTTTTTATAAGTTTTGAAAGTGTCGTAGCTAGTGGACAATTAGTGTAACACTTGAGGTATTCTCATCACCTCACTGACGTATTTATTCAATTTATTTTAGGTTATCCATCCATGCAGTAAGTTTATTCAGGTACACATATACATAAATACAGTTATATAAATTATTATACACAGCAGCATATGTGTATATTACCTAAGATAACCCAGTGTGATGGATCAGTGGAAAATACCGCTGACTTGTTTGCCTCTAAGCAGAATAACATACCTTACCAAGTAACACATTACTGGTGTATCTCTTCTTAAATATACCTGGAGCCTACCTGGAGGGTATTCCGGGGATCAACGCCCCCGCAGCCCAGTCCATGACCAGGCCTCCCTGTGGATCAGGGCCTTATCAACCAGGCTGTTATTGCTGGCCGCACGTAGTCCAATGTACGAACCACAGCCCGGCTGATCCGGTACTGACTTTAGGTATCTTCCCGGCTCTCTCTTGAAGACAACCAGGGGTCTATTGATAATGCCCTGATCTGTCCTACCCTACCCTGCCCTGATCTGCCCTGCCCTGCCCTGCCCTGCCCTGCCCTGCACTACCCATGGAGATATATTAGTGTTAACATGACTAACACGGAACTCAGTCTCTTTCCACCACCTTCATATACTTGCCACTTTCATAACCACTAGTGTTTATAACTTACTCAGAACTCCACAGAGTTTCAGTACATCTTAACAACGCTCTCAATACTCACCTAGCACCTTGAGGCATACACAGATTGTGTACTCACCTAGCACCCTGAAGTATACACACATTGTGTACTCACCTAGCACCTTGAGGTATACACACATTGTGTACTCACCTAGCACCTTGAGGTATACACACAGTGTGTACTCACCTAGCACCCTGAGGTATACACACATTGTGTACTCACCTAGCACCTTGAGATAGACCCAGGGTGAGTGCTGGGAGCCAGCAGAGCTGCGGGCAATACACTTATAGGCTCCCTCATCTTCCTTCCCCACAGCTTCCCACCTCAAGCCTCCCTCATCTACCACCACGCCTCGCTCTGTAAACAAACATAAATCATACTTATTGATTTGTTTGTCAAGTATTTATTATAGGGAAGTAATCATTAGGAAGGTTATTATACGGAAGTAATCATTAGGAAGGTTATTATACGGAAGTAATCATTAGGAAGGTTATTATACGGAAGTAATCATTAGGAAAGTTATACGGAAGTAATCATTAGGAAAGTTATTATACGGAAGTAATCATTAGGAAGCTTATTATACGGAAGTAATCATTAGGAAGGTTATTATACGGAAGTAATCATTAGGAAAGTTATTATACGGAAGTAATCATTAGGAAAGTTATTATACGGAAGTAATCATTAGGAAGCTTATTATACGGAAGTAATCATTAGGAAGGTTATTAACGGAAGTATCATTAGGAAAGTTATTATACGGAAGTAATCATTAGGAAGGTTATTATACGGAAGTAATCATTAGGAAGGTTTTTATACGGAAGTAATCATAGGAAGGTTATTATACGGAAGTAATCATTAGGAAGGTTATTATACGGAAGTAATCATTAGGAAAGTTATTATACGGAAGTAATCATTAGGAAGGTTATTATACGGAAGTAATCATTAGGAAGGTTATTATACGGAAGTAATCATTATGAAGGTAATCATTACAGGAAGATAATCTCGATGTATATACCCTGTGCCCGATAAAATTAAACTATTCAATATATGTACTGATAGATATAAACTACTCGTGGTATATACACTGTGATATATTAAACTGTGTATATACAGATATATAAACTTCTCCGTGTATTTTACTATAATAACGAACAAGAATGATTGTACTAACGTACAATCACAACGCGTAAACACGACTATTACTGGAGATATAAATGTACACGTTAAGTGTGATGTATAGCTGTATTGGCGCCAGACACTACACTCAACACTGCACAAGGTGAAGTGCGTACCTTGTCTTCCTTAATACACTCTCCACACTTACACACAGACACACAGACACACACACACACACACACACACACACACACACACACACACACACACACACACAGTGTAACAGCCTAGCAAGTGAGGTTGTGGAGGCAGGAACCATACATAACTTTAAGATGAGGTATGATAAAGCTCTTGGAGCAGGGAGAGAGAGGACCTAGTAGCACTCGGTGAAGAGGCGGGGCCAGGAGCTGAGTCTAGACCCCTGCAACCACAATTAGTACAATTAGTTGAGTACACACACTCGGGGTGTAGTAGTGGAGGTAGGATCCATACATAGCTTTAAGAGGGGGTATGATAAAGGTCTTGAAGCAGGGAGAGAGTGGACGTAGTAGCGACCGGCGAAGAGGCGGGGCCAGGAGCTGTGACTCGACTCCTGCAACCACAAATAGGTGAAAAAGAAAAGCACAACACACTTTCATCTCCATTTAGTTGCACACGTCTTCAATACTCACAAAAAACATGGGCACCGCTTTCATCCACATTGCATAAATGACCAGATCAATACAGTTCTCAGACACTGGTTTCATGCAAACTTGATTGCATATGTGATTAGATCAATAAACTGGTGAGAGAGAGAGAGGTGAGAGAGTGCACACTTGGCTGCTACAACACCCACTACGTCAGGCAGTGAGGCACAATTAACCTCACTCATGTCACTTAATATTCACTTGTGAAGACAGAACACGTGTTTACTTCCACTAAATAACACACTCTCTCTTTCATACAGGAAACTGCTTGTCATGACTCACTGCCACTTAGTAGTCTAAGTGGACGCTACAGAGTTTTCCACACCGCTATTATCATCACTTATCACTACTCCACTTGCCATCATTACTGCAGCGTACACTTAACACTTTTGTGGTCTTGAGAGGTTACGAGTAACAATCATACTCTGATCCCTGTCAGGGACCCTGAGGGACTCACCCAGTACAACTTAGCCAGGGTGGTACATGAGGGACTCACCCACTACCACTTAGCCAGGGTGATACATGAGGGACTCACCCACTACCACTTAGCCAGGGTGATACATGAGGGACTCACCCACTACCACTTAGCCAGGGTGATACATGAGGGACTCACCCACTACCACTTAGCCAGGGTGATACATGAGGGACTCACCCACTACCACTTAGCCAGGGTGATACATGAGGGACTCACTACCACTTAGCTAAGGTAGCACTTGAGACTCACTATCACCACTTAAGTTTCAAATCTATCCACTATAATTGCCCTCAACACTAACATTAAGAATAATTCATTCTTCCAAATAAATACCATATCTTTTGGTATATATATATATATATATATATATTATATATATATATATATAATATATATATATATATATATATATATATATATATATATGCAATAAGATCACAGTAAACAG